GACCACTTACTGGAAATTCTCCCCCTTGGCTTCTGAGATGTCACACTCTCCGAGGTTTTCTTCTGGCTTCCTCAAACCGCAGTTTACACCTGCGGCCTTATAATATTATAACTGGGGTTTATATAGGGCTCCTGCTGCTGTCACGTCTACTTCTCTTCACCCGCACCATGCACCCCCCATTCACCAGCTCTCAGTTGGAGCGCTCCTCTAGTTGGGCCACCCTTTAAAAAAAAAAAAAATAGCCACACTCTGGAGCTCAGCTCTGGACTCAAAAAATGCTACGAACCTCCTTCCCCAGGGACACGGCTGTCCTGATCCTAAATAAAAAAAATAACAGCAAACCCCAGAGAGGATACCCCTTGTCCCCTCGTGCCCACTCCACCTCTCTCCCAAGGCCTACTGATGTTGCCCCAGGCAGGGATCCAAGTCCACCCTCCTCCACAGCTCAGGCAACATCGGCCTCACCTGAACAGCTGCCACAGCCTCCCCTTCGTGCCTCGCCCCTGCTCCTGTCCACCCTCGTCCTGCCCCGGGGGGGGGGGGGACTTTTTAAATCACAGGTTGGTTTTCATCACTTTTTACATCTTGTGAATCTCCCCAGCCTGGATTTCTTCCTCTGTATCACGGAGCCAATAATGTTTACCTTGAGGGGCTGTAGGGAAAGTAAAATTAAATGAAGAAAGGGGAACAGGCTTTGCAAACTCTGAAGCGAAATGCCCTCGTGGGCAGCGAATGAGCAAATTTCAGGACTGGCGGGAGCTGTCCGCGGTGCTGAAACTGGTCCCACACGCTGAGGTTTTCTCCTTCCCCGGTGAAGACGCTGGTCCCATGGGTTTTCTCCATTTTCCGTCTAGCTTTTTCTTTCTTTTTTTTTTTTTTAATCTTTTTAAAAATATATCATGGTGACTTGTGGGTCACCAAATAAGAACAAGGAATAAATCGTAAGAGTGAAGCGTGAGGTTTCAGGAGGTAGACTGCATAGGTTTGTAACCCCAGCTCCACTAACAACCAACCAGCCGCGGGACCACAGACAAATCACTTATCTGCATCTGTTTTCTAATCTGAAAAATGGGGATATAATACATTAATATTAACTTGCTCCAAAGCTACTGGAAATTGAAATTAAGGGAAACCTATAAACAAAACCTTAGCACGGTGTCTGTCCCTACACAAGCGTTTCGTTAACGTTGTTACTGTTTTTAGTAACCGGTTTCATAGAATAGGCGCGAGAGGGTTCGTCACCTCTAGGACAATTACAGAATTATTTTTATCTCCTCTGAGAAGCTGAAGGGGAGAGGACCAGTTCTCTGCCAGGAAATGTGGGGGAGAGTGGGCAGCAAGTGCTCCTGTCCTTGGCAATTCGGATTTAACTGGAAGCCCCTGAAAACCTACTTCAGGCTCCTTTATCCTTTTGAGGCATCTGTCCACAAAGTGATCAATGTTCGTCCCATTTTACAGATCAGGAAACTGAGGCTCAGGGGGTGAAATGCCCCAGCGCGCCCAGGGGGAGGGAAATGGCGTTTACGCGGACAGGAGCACGGCCCCCCGGCTGGGGAGGCCCCAGCGGGAACGGAGGCTCCTCTCCCGCGCCAGCCCCACGGGCGACCGCGCCGCCTGCGGAGCGTGGGCGGCGAGACAAAGGGCCAGGGCGGGGCGGGCGGGCGGCGGGAGAAGGCCGGAAGCACGGCCGAGGGGGAAGCGGGAAATGTCCTCGCAGGCGGAGCTCAGGGGTCGCGCCGACCTGGGTCCCCACCGCAGGGGCTCTGGATCCCGACTCCCTCGTTAGCGAAACGGAGAGGGCACTCGCGGGGCTGGGCTGGTGACTCGGACACCGCGCCCCGCGCGCGGCAGCGCGCCGCGGACGGACGGGCAGCTGGCTCTCTGCCGCTCAGTCTCCGCGTCTGCGAAATGGGAACCCGGCCGAGGACGGCGGGGAGGCCCGGAGCCCGGGCAGCGGGGACGGGCGGCGGGCGCGGGGCGCGCTCCCCTCCTCCGGCCCGGCTCCCGCGGGCACCGCCCCCTCCCGCATTCCGAGGCCGCCAGCGGGCCAGCGCGCATGCCGGGCGGGGCGCGGGCGGGAGCGCGAGCCGGCGCGGGGACGGCGGCGCGGAGTCTGCGGGTCGGCGGGCCAGCCCGGCCGGAGGCAGCCGAGGCCGCTCGGGCGGCGGCGGGAGCCGGAGCGCAGCGCGCGGAGGAGCGGGAGCGGCGGCACCGCGGGGTAAGAGCCGCGCCCACACCTGTCCCCTCCCGGCGGGCGGCGCAGCCCCTCGCTCCGCTCGCTGCCGCGTCTGTCCACGGTCCTCGAAGCCCCTGGGCGGCGGGGCTCGGACACGGCGCGCCGTGTGTGCGCCGGGCGTGTGCGCGCGCGCTGGGGCCGGCGGTGCCGGGTCCCCGCGCCGGGCCGGCCGGTGGGGGCGGGTCCCGCAGCACCCGGCGGAACACCCGAGGGGCCCTGAGGGCCAGGCCGCCCTGTGTGTGGGACCGGCTCACTCCCGCTCGCCGCCGTCGCCTGCGGCTTTGTTCGGCACGGCCGTGAGGGAGGGGGTGCTTCCCGCCACGGGCGTGGGGGAGGGCGTCCTCCCGCGTTGATTCATCGCCTCCCTGGGGCGAGCGCAGCGCTCGGTGGCTCCACTCGCACCACTGAGCACACTCGCCGTCACACACCCGGTGTGGCACGCACGGGGACGCGATCACACTGCGTTCAAGCACAGGCGCCTCGTTTCCCCGGGAGAGGCCACAGGTCCACCCCGCGCACAATGGCTGTCGGTCATTCCATCAGACTCGCGGGTGGGAACCTCGCGTACACGCCCAGCGCTGCTACGCACACACACCGGCCACCCAGGGCCACCCAGGATCGCGGCGGCGTCAACTCAGCAGTACCCTCCGCAACACGAGGCAGCCACCCTGCTCTGGCCTGCTTGTGTCTGTTAGCAGCTGCTGTTCAGGCGGGGCGTCCTTGTACCCTGGACCCGGGAGTAGTAGGCTGTCACACTTGTGCACACACTCCCTCGTGTACCGTTAGCTTGCTGCCCGCTCCCAACCCCGTCTGCACGGCCCTGAAGGTCCATTCTCGCCTTCTGTGGACTGTGTAGATGGTCTGGGGGGGAGGCAGTGTCTGGGTAAGGTCTGCTGTCACCCTTGCTAGATTCCTTCTCCTACCGCCCCAGGCAGGAGGCTTTGCTGCTCTGAGAGCACTAGAAGAAGAGGTGACAAGGGGCAGCACACTGGGATTCTGAGACACACTCACAGGTACACATGCCTGCCAAAGCTCCACAAGCCTTTGTCGATCTTGTCACCATGGGAGGAGGTGTTTGCAGGTGCCGGCAGCCCTGGCCCCAGTTGGGTGTGTGGGGTGGCGCCGCTCTGAGAAGAAACCCTAGATGGAAAGGCATGGGCTGTGAGGTCTCCGTGGCCCGAATGGGCATTCACAGGGGCTGCTCTGCCCAAGAGCAGGACACAGCACCTGGGCACACACCCAAGTGAGACTGTGAAGCCATGTGGCCACACATGTGCATACCTGCAGGTCCAAGTGGTCCCCATGAGGCACAAACACACAAGCCATTCTGCACATACAGGTGTGCATAAGCTCACCTGCCTTCCAGCACGAACACAGGAGCCAGGCCCCGGCCCCACAGGGGCCCAAGCTGGTACAGACGTCCGCAGGCAGTCCGCTCACTCCCTGGCACTCCGGGTGAACCGCCCCACACACCTGGGCAGTCATTACTACCTCTGCGTCCGTCGAGCCGCACTCACACGCCTGTGCCCAATCGTGCAGGCCCGTCTGCTCACGTTCCCGCAGGTGGGTGTTCGCGTGCAGGGACGCTCTTGCTGCTTCTGCCGTGTGCCCCCCGGTACTGCTGCCTGTGAGGCCCACGGGATCGATCGGGAGGAATCTTGGCCTGACCCCAAAGAGCAGAAAGGGTTTTTTATGAGCCAAGTGTCAGCGTCCAAGACCTTAGATGATACAAATGGGAAGAACCCAGACTTCGGGCTTAGACACAGCTGGCTTTGGACCACAGCCTCCCCTTCCCCCTAACTTTGTGCCTTTGGTCAAGTCTCTTCTCCCTCAGTGGTCTTATCTGTGAAATGGGGTGATGATACCCTCATGAGATTATTGTGGGGTCCAGCCTGAGAGTGTTGGGCCCAGGAGAGGGATCTGGGTTCCAGTGGGAGAGTGGAAAGGGAGAGGGGGGGCCCCAGGCCTAGGCTGCCTCTTGGAGAAGTGGCTAAAGGATACTGAGGCCGCCTTATGAGCCAGGTGGAACTGTGAGGAGGAGAAGGTCTTGGGGGCAGATCTTAAACCCAGGGCTGGGCTACATCCTCTAGATAACTGTATCCCCATTTCACAGATTAGGAAACTGAGGCCCACAGAGTAGAAAAACTCACCCAAAGTCATGGAACAAGACAATGGCTAAGCTGGGGCGTGACCCCACATCTTTCTGCCTCCCTAACCAGGCTCTCTGTCCCTGCCCCAGACCCTATCCCATTTCGGAGGCTGAGAACAGCAAGATGGGAACGGATCGCTGGCCTCACCCAGGGGGACTTTGAAAAGGGACATGTTGCCAGCTGGACCACGCTTGTCCTCTCAGAACCTCAGTTTCTGCCTCTTGGAAACAGGACCACAACACCTGCCTGGAAGGTGTGCGGGGCCTGCACACAGTCAGGGCTGCACCTGTGTGGTGTCACCCCCGCCTTTCTGGGTATCTAGTCAAGGATCAAAACCCAGGTGGCTGTAGGCCAGGAAGGTGACACGTGGGGGGAGCTGGCTATAAGAAAAGTGGCAGCGTAAATTCAGCGATCGAGGACAGTGGTCAGCCTCAGCGTGCGGGACGCCGTAGGGAAGGGTGGGGAGTGTGGCTAGCGAGAGGACGGCCCGGCTCAGGAGGCAGGCCCTGCGCCGTCCCACTTGACTGTTGCCATGCAAGATGCATGCCCAGATTGCCAAATTTTGATTTTTCCAAGAGAAGCTGGAAATCTGATTCTCATAGGAAATCTTCAGATTCTTTAAATGTTCGTCCATTCATTTGATTTGCTAAAAATTTGTTTAGCTCTCTGGGTCAAACAGGCATGTTTGGGGGCCAGATTTAGCTGGTTCGTGTCTCTGCTGCAGCCCTTCTCTCCCCTGCCCCCTCCCGGGAGCGCAGCTGGGCTCCGACAGGCTGAGTAGATAAAAACAGGCCTTCCATGTACACAGCCCGGCCCCAAAGTGAGCTGAGCCCGGCACACCCCTCATTTTCTTTAATTCTCACCGCAGCCCTGGGCGAGCAGGGGGTTGGTTCTCCAGGGTCCCCAGGGAGGAGAATGGCCTTGCTGGAGGTCTCCGAGCTGGTAAGTGGTCAGCTGTCCTGACTTTCTGCCTGGGCCTCACCCGGGGGAGGTGCCTTGGTGTGTGGGGCCAGGGCTGGGCAGGGCTGAAATGAGCGGGGGGCAAGACCCAGAGCACCGCTCCTAACTGGAAGGCTGACTCCTTCCAGCCCCAGCCTAAACTCCCCGGACACCTGCTAGGCAGCTGTTGAATTCCTGTTTTCCAGAGGAGGAAACTGAGGCAGGCAGATCCTGGCCCTTTCTTTTGCCTGTCTCCCCAGTTACTCCGGCTTATGACATCCTTTTCTCTATAGTCCAAGAACCTAAGGGGTTGCAAGCAGGTGACCTAGATGTCAAAGTTGGCTCACAGAAGCTTTCCTTTGGCCTGGGTGATGTTTTTTATATAAGCCAATATTTAAAATACACATATCCAGATTTATGTGACTTTGCTCTAAAATTAGGAGGCCTGGCCACACAGGGGCCGTGTTCACTGCCCTGCTTGAAACACTTCCAGGGATTCCCAGCACCCTCAGGATGAACCGTCCCCCATCCCTCTCCCTATTGTCTCCTCACTCTAGGATGCCAGGAGTCTCAGGCTGGAGTGCAATGGTGCAGTCATAGGTCACTGCAGCCTCGAACTCCTGGGCTCAAGCAATCCTCCCGCCTCAGTGTCTGGAGTAGCTGGGACTACAGGTGTGCACCACCACGCCTGGCTAATTTCTCTTATTTTCTTTTAGAGACTGGGTCTTGCTATGTTGCCAAGGCTGGTCCTGAACTCCTGGCCTCAAGCGATCCTCTTGCCTCAGCCTCCCGGTAGCTACAGGTGTGAGCCACCGAGCCCAGCTCAGGTGTTAGGAGTCTTTAATCATCTCCCTCCATCTACTGTTTTCCTCGTGGGAGAAAAAAAATGTTTATCTGTGCCCATGTCACTACCAAAAGGCAAAAAGATGAAGATGGACCCAGTCCACACCACGCAAATCTGATGCCTGCCTGAGCCCTGCAGGCTGGTGACCTTGGTCCAACCCCTCATATTTATGCTGATGAAAACCAAATCCAAAGAATTCCAGCCAGACCTCTCCTGTGCCCCCGACCTGTCTCCCACCTGCTCCTGGATGTCCCTGTGTGAGTCCTACGGGCAGTCCAGTTCGGCTTCCCACCTGTGGCCCGAGGTCCTCTGCAGAGCTGCTCTTCCTCCTGTGTCTCCCTCCTAGTGCCGGCTCTTACCCTCCAGGCCCCATAATCTTAAAGCACGAGAGCCTCAGTGGTGAGCAGTGTCAAGTGAGTCCCCATCCAGGGACCTGAGGCCTGGTCAGGGACCCAGAGGTGTGCACGGCGACATGCACAGCAACCGAGTCTGGTTAGGGGAGGCCCAGCCTCAGGGCAGGACGCCATGGGAGCCCCCGGGAAGCTGTTGGTTGAGAAGGCTCACGACGAGGGGAGCACTCCCACCGAGCCTGGAGGGTGACAGGACAGCCAGGCAACGCGGGAGGGAAGGTCTCCCACAGAGGGGTTGTAAAACGGCCTGCAATGGGGCAAACATGAAGCCCACGGACGACCCCAAAGAGTCGCTCTTCTGTGTGCACATGATTGTGCTGATGTACACATGCATGTGGCTGTGTACATGCCGCTGTGTACATGCTTCGGGGTGGAGTTTATTAAGCGACAAATCTCAGCAGGTAATATGTTCATGGGGCTTAGAAGCACATAAATGAGCTAGACTTGACCCTAAAGGTAACAAGGAGTCATTACAGTGTTTGAGTTTTTCCCCCATTTAAAAAAAAAAAGTGGCCGGGCGCGGTGGCTCACGCCTGTAATCCTAGCACTCTGGGAGGCCGAGGCGGGCGGATTGCTCAAGGTCAGGAGTTCGAAACCAGCCTGAGCAAGAGCGAGACCCTTGTCTACTACAAAATAGATAAAATTAATTGGCCAACTAACATATATATAGAAAAAATTAGCCGGGCATGTGGCGCATGCCTGTAGTCCCAGCTACTACTCGGGAGGCTGAGGCAGGAGGATCGCTTGAGCCCAGGAGATTGAGGTTGCTGTGAGCAGGCTGATGCCACAGCACTCACTCTAGCCTGGGCAACAAAGCGAGACTCTGTCTCAAAAAAACAAACAAACAAACACACGTGCTTGTCGGATGATGATGGGGACTGTGGAGAAACCGGGGCCGAACAAGGCGGTGGACAGCACCTGCCGGCAGGGTCAGGAGGAGGCTGTCTCGTGCAGGGGCTGGGAGAGCCGCAGGGAGTGCACCATGCGGAAACCTGGAGGGCTCGCTTTCCAGACAGAAGAAAACAGCCAGCGCAAAGGCCTCCTTGAGGCAGAGGGTGTGGCGAAGAGTGTAATAGAGAGGGAGAGGAGCAGGAGAAAGGCCAGAAGGGGTGACGGGCTGGATGGTGCAGGGTCTTGTGAGCTGTCGTCAGGAGTTTGCTTTTACTTTGCACAGGGTGGGGAGACACCGCACGGCTCTGAGCAGAGGGCGGACTCGATCTGCCTTGGGTTTCTCTAAGACCCCCTCTGGCTGCTAGATTGAGAGTAAACCATGGGGTGAAGGAAAAAGCAGAGATAATCTAGGTGAGAGGTGCTGGGGGTTTAGTCCAGAGTAGTGGCCAGATTTCGGATATATTTTGAAGGTAGACCCGTTATGTCTCGCCGATGGATGAGACATGCAATGTGAGACTCAAGGGTGACTCTCGGGATTTTGCCCTGAGCACTGCGGAGACGGTTTCCGAGCAGATTTGGAGGGAGTCGGGGCTCTGCTCGCTCTGGCGGCTGCATGCATGGCGGCACGGGGTTGCTCTTGGGTCCAGCTGCCTGCCGGACCCTCTTTCCCCAGATTTCCTGCCCAGCAACCTAGCCAGTCCCCTGCGGGCCACTCCTCCTCTGACCACTACAGCCAGTGGGTACCTGTCAGTTCCTTTGGATCGCTCAGTTCTGCCTTTCACTTCCAACCCCAGGGCCTGCTGTGCCGCCTCTGGTCTAGACTATTGTAGAGAAGGAGCTAGGTGAATGAATGAAGGATTAAATAAATGATTTACCAGCCTCCTGATAGGTTTCAGCCAACCCTTCCCCTTCAGCCCGGCCTCCATACCATCCCAGAGGAACCCTTAAAGATGCACACATCTGGCCATGGCCCTTCCTTGACTATACACCATTCACATCTCCCGGGGCCTAGACAGACTTAACGTGGTGGCCTATAGACATGCTTTGTTTGGCCCACATAGTGTAGGTGTGTATGAAATCTTAAATTAATTAGCATATTCTACATTGAAGTCTGGATTTCCTAATTGTCCTGAAAACCTAGAAGAGCTGGTACTGCCAGGTGGCATTTCTCCAGAGCAGCACTCGGCCCATAGATTAAATGACTCGCCTGAGCCCTGGGGTAGAGCTGCAGTCCCCAAGCCCGAGGCCACAGACCAATATTGGTCTGTGTGGCCTGTTAGGGACTGGGCCGCCGCCGAGCTCTGCCCCCAGCCTGCCCTGTCCGTGGACAAAAACTGTCTTTTGTGAAACTTGGTGGGGGTGGGGTCGAGGGGGGGCACACGGCAGGAGAGGAGCCACAGGCCAGCCAGTGAAGCCTCATCTGCATTTACAGCCACTCCCCATCCCTCTGGTCACTGCCTGAGCTCCGCCCCCCCCCCCACCTGGCCACCAATCCATGGAAAAATTGTCTCCCATCAAACCGGTCTTTGGTGCCAAAAAGGTTGGGTGGGAACCACTGGCCTGGAGGACACAAGTGTGACTTCGGAGAGTGTGCTGCGTGGGGTGGGGCTGAAGGGGGCGATGGGGGGTAAAGTTAAAGTTGTGCTGTAGCCAAGTTGTGAAGGGCCTTGAATGTCATTTTAAGAAGTCTTTATCAGGCTGGGCTCGGTGGCTCACGCCTGTAATCCTAGCACTCTGGGAGGCCAAGGCGGGTGGATTGCTCGAGGTCAAGAGTTCGAGACCAGCCTGAGCAAGAGCGAGACCCCGTCTCTACCATAAATAGAAAGAAACTAATTGGCCAACTAATATATATAGAAAAAATTAGCCGGGCATGGTGGCGCATGCCTGTAGTCTCAGCTACTTGGGAGGCTGAGGCAGGAGGATTGCTTGAGCCCAGGAGTCTGAGGTTGCTGTGAGCGAGGCTGACGCCACGGCACTCACTCTATCCTGGGCAACGAAGCGAGACTCTGTCTCAAAAAAAAAAAAAAAAAAAGTCTTTATTGTTTTAAGAAGGGCCACTAGGAGCAATGAAGCAGGGGAGTGGCACGGTTGGGTTCGTGTTTCCAGAAGGGGACCAGACAGGGGCAGAGCACCTGGTCAGAAGGCCTGGCTGCCAGGAGGAGGGCGGAGAACAAGGCCAGGTGTAGTCTCCCTGAGTCTGAGTCTATTCTCTCTCTGTTCCAGAACCAGACAGTAACCCTGGACTCGAGCGTGGTCATGCGGGCAGATGGGCAGTGCTGAAGACCCAGCCTGGCTCCAGCTGCTTCGAAAGGACTCCAGTGCCCCGGGACCCTGGCCCACAGCCCTCTGCTGCCCACAGGATGGGAGCCTGGGGGATGGGGGCCCGGCCATGAAGGACTGCTGCCCCTCCCCGCAAAAGGCCAGCCCTGCACCCCCCAGGCACACCCCTGACCAAAGCCCAGGCATGGACTCCAGACACAGAAGTCCCGGTGGAGCTGGGGAAGGGGCCTCCTACCCTGAGGGCCCTGGCGGGAGCTTGGCCTGCCCCTCCCCAACCTGTATCTCTCCCCAGGGGGCAGCCTCCAAGGAGACATTGGGGGCACATGGAGCCCCCGTCACAGGGACACTAGAAACCACCTTGTCTGGGAAGCCAGAGCCTGTGTCCTCCGTGAAAACTCATCCCACATCCTCAGAGGACAGAAATCCTGTGTTCTTGGAGAAGACGGATTCCAAGTCCTCGGAGCAGGCGGCGTCCACATCCGTGGGAAAGGCAGACACGGGGTCCTCGGGGAAGGCAGAGTCTGCGGTCTGGGGCAAAGGGGGTCCTGGGGCTCCCGGGAAGCCGGACCCTGTGACCCCAGGAAAGGAAGATCTTGGATCCTTGGGGACAACAGATCCTGTGTGCAAGGTGGATACAATGTCCCCAAGGAAGGAGGATCCTGTGTCCTCAGGCAAAGCGGCTTCTGAGTTCCCAAGAAAGGAGGAGCCCAGGTATTCCAGAAAAGAACCTCCCGTGTCCGCAGAAAAGCCGGGCCCTGCATCTGTGGGCAAACCAGATCTCCTGTCCTTGGGAAAGAGAGAGCCTGAGCCTTCAGGACAGTGGGATCCGACGTCCTTGGGAGACACGGACTCTGCGGGCACGGTAGAGGCAGGGCCTGGGCGGCCGGGGCTGCTGGCTCGCGGGCCGCCGGGCAATGCCGAGCCTGAACGCCCCGGAGCAGCGGCGCCTGGGGCCTCGGGAAGGGAGGTCCCCGCAGGCTTGGGGACGGCAGGACCGGCGTCTGTGGGAGACGTGGAGACTGCTGCATCCTCCACAAAAGAGGACGCTGGGTTCCTAGGAACGCCAGAGCCCGACTGCTCAGCCGAGCGGGGCCCCGTGTCTACGGGAACGACAAAACCCGGGTCTGCTGGACACGCAGATGCCACGTCAAGAAAGACACACCCCGCACCTTCGAAAAACGTGGACCGCCTGTCTTCGGACGAGGTGGGTCCGGCCTGCTTGGGGAAGCCGGATCCCAGGTCCCCGGGGAAGCCGGAGCCCTCGCCCCCTGGGCAGGCGGAATGTGTCTCTGTCAGAAAGACAGAGATGTCGGTGTCCTCAGGCAAAGAGGACCTGGTGTCCTCCAGAAGGGAGGATCCCACGTCTGTGGGAAATGTAAAAGCATTTCCGTCTGAGAAAGAGAATCCTGGCTCTTCAGGAAAGACAGAGCCTGTGCCCGCAGCCCCGGGGAGCCCCAAGTCCCTGGGGGCGGCAGCGCCCCCGTTGGCAGTGCCAGCGGCGGCAGGGACGGGCGGGAAAGGAGACCCGCTGTGGGGGAAGGCAGGTCCTGTGGCCTCCAGGAAGGTGGGCCCCACAGCCTCGGGGAAGGCTGGTGGCCTGGCCTCGGCGGGCAAGCCGGACCCTGTGGGCAGGGGAAAGGCAGACGCTGTCCCCTCTGGGGACCTGGACTCCTCCATGTCTGCAGGTACAGTCGTCTCCGCTGCTCCAGGAAAAGCAGCCCTGGTGTCCTCGGGGAAGGCGGATCCAGTGTCCTCGGGGACAGCAGGAGCCAGCCCAGGGGGGAAGGGGGCTGCTCTGCCGCTGGAGGAGGAGAACCCTGCGAGCCCCACAGGAGATCCCCGGGCCTCCGGGGCGGCAGAGCCCAGGTCTGGGGCCGCAGCAGAAAGGAAGCTCCCTGCGCAAGAGGCTGCAGCGTCCAGAGGAGCAGAGGCTGTGTCTCTGCAAAAGGAGCTGCCTCAAGCTGCAGAGAAGGTGGATCCTGGATCCTCAAGCAGAGCAGACACCGGTGCCCCTGGGAAGGGAGAGCCAGGCTCCCCGGGGCAGGCTGACTCTGCATCTCCCAGAAAAACAGAGCCCCAGTCCTTGGGCAGGGTGGCTCCCCTGAGTCTGGCCAGGTCCATCCCCTCCTCCAGGCAGTCCGATGGCAAACCCTGCGGTTCAGCCCTGTCTCCCCAGGGTGCGGGGAGCAGCAAGGACCACGTGGAGCCAGAGCCGGAGCCCGCACCCAGCGCCGCCGCCAAGGCCTCCACCCTGGGCCAGAAGGACCTGGCAGTCGCTGGGGCCGAGCAAACGCCCCGCCCAGAGGCCGCGCCCGGGCAGCGGACTCGGGACAACTTCACCAAGGCGCCGTCGTGGGAAGCGAGCGCCCCGCCCCCTCCGCGCGAGGACGCGGGCACTCAGGCGGGCGCGCAGCCCTGCGTCTCGGTGGCCGTGAGCCCCATGTCTCCGCAGGACGACGCGGGGGCCCCGGCTTTCAGTTTCCAGGCGGCGCCCCGTGCGCCCAGCCCGGCGCCCGGGCCGCCCTCGCGCCGCGACGCGGGCCTGCAGGTGTCGCTGGGCGCCGCCGAGACGCGCTCCGTGGCCACCGGGCCCATGACGCCGCAGGCCGCCGCGCCGCCCGCCTTCCCCGAGGTGCGGGTGCGGCCCGGCTCGGCGCTCGCGGCCGCCGTGGCACCCCCGGAGGCAGCCGAGCCCGTGCGCGACGTGAGCTGGGACGAGAAGGGCATGACGTGGGAGGTGTACGGCGCCTCCATGGAAGTGGAGGTGCTGGGCATGGCCATCCAGAAGCATCTGGAGCGACAGATCGAGGAGCACGGCCGCCAAGGGGCGCCCGCGCCGCCGCCCGCCGCCCGAGCGGGCCCGGGGCGCGTGGGCTCGGTGCGCGCCGCGCCCCCCGACGGCGCCAACAAGCGCCCGCCTGGCCTCTTCCGCGCGCTGCTGCAGAGCGTGCGCCGGCCGCGGTGCTGCTCGCGGGCGGGACCCACGGCCGAGTGACCTGCCCCTTTTCCACGCGCAGGTTTCCAAACTTCTCAGGCTCCCTTCCTGGCCCCGGGCCCCTAGGAGGGATTCCCTCTGCGCGCAGCAGGCCTGAGGGTGGACGGTCTCTAGAGCCCTCTCATCATTCCCCATCTCTCCGGCCGCGCCCCTCCCCAACACACACGAACCCCTCTACCAAGCTCCGTCGCGTCCGTGAGCCCACGAACCCGGCCAGCCCCGATGCCCTGTTGCCCCTCACAGCCCTCAGCTCGACTCCCTCTGGGAAGGACCTGCTCAGGGTCCTGCTCAGCACCCCACCCCCCACCCCCGAGAGCCGAGCCAGGCTCTTGAGCTGTCCAGACTGGTGCGTTGAGGTCTCCAGTGGGGCCAGGTGCCCCAGCGGGAGCGACTGCATGCAGACCTAGTGGTGAGTGCTCCAAGTTGTCATGGTCAGTGCTAGGCCCGAGCGTGCCGGGCTCTGCATGTGGGCCCCGGGCAGCATGGCGGTAGGACGGAGCGTGTGAGTGTGTTTCCACGCAGTGGCGGGCCCCATTGCCGGGGCGTCTCTTGCATGCTGTTGGTGGTCCTTCCCCAACTCCTGTCCCCCAGCTACGTGGCCCCATTCCCCAGCCCATCCCCCGTCCCACTGGGTCACCCGGTTCACAATTCCCAGAGAGGCCTAAGGCAGCTGCAGGACGGGCCCTGGGGGCTCAGCTGAGACAGGGAAAGGCCAGAGAGTCTCAGACAGGCCTGGCGGTCACAGCCAGCCTTGCGGAGGGTCTTGGGGCCCTGGCAGCCTAGAGGACAGCTGGTCTTGGGTACTGGGGACAGGACAGCGAGCTCATTCCACAATCACAGTTGTCCTTAAAGGCCACCCTCCCCAGCCCCTCCTGTGCTGTGAGCCCCAGAAGTCCCTTGTGACCACTCAGTGTCCCTGCCCCTGCAGCCACAGTTTTTGGCTACAAAGTGTCACAGTATACATTGGTAATAAAATCTTTCCCCAACCCCTGTCTGCTGCGATTGGCCAAAAGCAAAGCAGGCTGAGCAACAGGATATATTATAATCTCTAGTCAGGGGGTGACGGGGCCTGCTTGCCCCGGGGGGCGGGGAGGGGGGTCTGGAAGAGCGGGGCCTCATATGTCGGTGGTGTCCAGGCCGGCATTGGTGAAGGACAGCTCCTGCTGTTCCCGTATCCCCTCCGGCCTTCCTGACAGGATCACGCTCAGGGGCTCCGGAGCTGGCCCCTGCTGATCGCAGGGCTCCTCCTGTGGGGAGAGGGAACAACATGTGACGCTTGGGGCAGGAGGGGCGTCTCCCCAGGCAGGGGGCATGGGTGGACCTTCACACCCACGACCAGGCGGCTCACTTGGCTGGGGTCCCACCGTGCTCCTCCCTGGGCCTCAGCTCCTGGCTGTGTCCCGGAGGTGGCCATGGCCGGCAGTGGGCGGATCAGCCCAAGGGGTGGGCCTGGGGGGTCTTTTCTGGCCTTTGCCCCACCCACACTCTCTCTCATGTCAGTTTGCCTGTTGGCTACTTGGAAAGGCTGGAGGGGTTGAGCCCTCCAGTCACTCGTACCTTCCGCACAAACATTTATGAAGCTCTTGGACAAGTCACGGCACCAAGGGATTCCCGGGAAGAGGGCACACCCCTGTCCCCCAACTAGCCAAGGGAGAGGAGGGGCAGGCAGCCCCCAAGAAGGCCCCGTGGTCTCCCCTGCCCAGCGGCCCCCAAAGCCCACTCACTGCTGCGGGAGAGCGGGTGGAGCCTTGGCAGCTTCTTGGAAATACAGCAAGCCCTGCCTTCCAGGACGAGGTCTGAGCTCTGTCCTGGCCTTGAAGACTCTCTGTCCTCCCTCCCCCTCTCTCCATACCCTTCTTCTCAGGGCTCCCTGCCCAGCCCCAGCCCAAGGTCCAGCCCCACTGCAGGGGACGCTGGCACCACTCCTCCCGGGAACAGCATCATCTCCTGCCGGGGGCCGCAGCCCCAGCAGGCAGGACTATTCCCTTTTGTCAGTTCCCCGAGACATGCCCATTGGAGCTTTTGCCTTAAACCGTCTTGCGACAGAGAAGCAGGGGAGACCTCTGTCCACTCAGAGGCCGCCAGCACTGCCTGGCCGCCTGGATTAATCCCCGCAGCCCCACGGAGAGGGCTCTATGCCAGATTCCCTGCGCCAGGTAACGCCGGGGCCCTGTGCAATGTTCTGGTGTTTTAAAGCCCAAGAGAGCCTTTGGTTAACCAAACCTTTCCAAGTAAGGAGTCCTCAAGGGAAAATAAATATGAACCCTGAGGTCAGGCTGGGGGCCCCTGGCCGGCAGACAGAAACTGGGCCAAGCCCAGGGTGCAGACTGCAGGTGGAGGGGTAGCTGCCACCCTCTAGTGCATGCACGCGCACACACTCACACACACTCAGACCATTACAGCTCAAATGGGCCTCAGAGAACTTCTGCTCTGGTGGTGGTTTTCAAAGTGGGAAGGAGAGAGGGTAGTTCCTCTGTTTCCAGAGACACCCCCACTCAGCGCACTGACCTGCCCCCGTGGTTCTCGGCCCCACCTGCACGGTAGAGGCCCCTGGGCAGCTTTCAGAGCATATCCCAGGCTCCACCTGAGCCATTGGAATCAGAATCTCTGGGTGGGATCTGGACATAGGTATTTCTAAAGAACGCCTCAGGCCGGGCGCGGTGGCTCGCGCCTGTAATCCCAGCACTCTGGGAGGCCGAGGCGGGCGGATTGCTCGAGGTCAGGAGTTCGAAACCAGCCTGAGCAAGAAGCGAAAACCCCGTCTCTACTATAAATAGAAAGAAATTACTTGGCCAACCTAATATATATACGAAAAAATTAGCCGGGCATGGTGGTGCATGCCCGTAGTCCCAGCTACTCGGGAGCTGAGGCAGGAGGATTGCTTGAGTTCAGGAGATTGAGGTTGCTGTGGGCTAGGCTGACGCCACGGCACTCACTCTAGCCTGGGCAACAGAGTGAGACTCTGTCTCAAAAATAAAATAAAATAAAAATAAAAATAAAAAAATAAGAACTCCTCAGGTGCTTCTAAGTAGCAGGCCAGGCCATGAACTCTTGGTCTAATCTAACCAACTAAACCATTCAACAAATGGCAGTGCTGTTGTTTATTTGCACCCACCTTCTTTTCTGTGCTAGATGTTCCTTCATCTCCAGATGTCTTCCCCAGCCCTACCAGCTTTTATATAAAGGTCATGAAGGGCGGAACCCGATCGTCGAGGACTTGTTTGTGCCGGGTGGTTTTTATGCCTGCTTTATTTAATCCTCACAGTGGCCCTGCATGGTTGATGTTCTGACCCCCATTTATAGATGAGAAAGCTCAGAACCAGAATCCAGAAGTCACCCACCCAGGGTGACACAGTGAACCAGTGGAGGAGCAGGAATTGGACCCCATCCTAAAGCCACAGGGCTTCCTGGGGCTTGATGCTGAGAAGCCAGGCTGCCAGTGTCAGTAGCAGGTCCCTCCAGCTCTGCCCCTCACCCCTTCAGGGAAGGACCCCAAGTCAGAAGCCCCGGGTACCAACTCATCCCACGTCTTGCCTTCATTTCCTGATGTTTCTTGTCTAGGTCCACAGAGTTGTCATCTAGGGAGTTGAGGCTGTGGGAGAGGTGATGGAGTTCAGGTTGTTGGCAGGCCCAGTCTTCCCTGTCTGATAGACCTCCCACCCAAAGACCTGGGCTTGGAGTACTTCTCCACTGGCAACTTGGATGACATCAGGTGAGTAGTGCCCTTCCCAGCCGTGCTAGCGGTGGGGGTGGGGCATGATATGTGGGTGGTGGTGGTGATGGTGACAGTGGAGATGGTGGCGGTGGTGATGGGGTGGTGGCGGTGTGGCGATGGTGGCTGTGTGAGTGGTGGTTGGTGGTGGTTGGTGGATGTGGGTGGTGGTGATGTGGTGGTGTGTGATGTGGTGGTGAAGGTGGTGGTGAGTGGTGGTGTGGTGGTGGTGGGTGGTGGTGGTGATGGTGGTGTGGATGTGGGTGGTGGTGGTGAGTGGTGGTGATGGTGGTGGTGGTGTGTGATGGTGGTGTGAGGGGTATTGGTGGTGTGTGTGGTGATGGTGTGTGATGGTGGTGG